TAAAGAAATGTCCCAAACACAATCTCTAACTATTTCTGTTAAGTATACAGTAAACTACGTCATAATTAACATCTTATAATGAACTGAAAGATATACAGTACTGTTTTGGTATTTTTAGTCCCTGGCATTTAGGGCTGGGGAGATTCACCGATACATCACGATACATTTAAGTTTGATACAGCTATCGTATTGTCGACTGGTATATCGATACAAAACGAAACACGACTTTTTTCAAAACAGTAATTTCTTAAACATGTTAAAGTACTTATTCAGAGAAAATACGCCAGTATGATAGAGTTACTTGTTTGTTTATTACAATAGTGTTATTGTTATACACTAATACCTTGAAATAGATCATTTTAAATCTTAATACTGTGTCATTCTTTCAAGATGTATGTATCGTGATGAGTATCGTATCGCAGATAAAATATCGCGATAAGTATCGTATCGTGACATAGTGTATCGTCCCAGCCCTACTGGCACTTAGTTAATTAGCGAGTAATTAATTATGGTTATAATAAACTAAAATATGTGGTTCATTGAGTACTGTAATTACTTTTATTATCAGCATCATTTTTGATACAGAAGCCAACAATTATCTGCTCAGTTCTCACAACTTACCATGTTGACTGGTATGATGTATTTCCTTGTCACAGAAACATGCTTCATACAATGTACAGAGACTGTGACTCAAAATATTTCAAATGTTGTTCTCAATTAAATTTTACTTAAACACCTCCCTCATCAGACTCAGAGAGAATCCAACAAAGATCTGTTTATCTTTCTGCAGCCTGGAATACTTTAAAAAACATCGCACAACCAGTCGGCCTGGTTCACAAAATACCAATGTCAAGGTTAATATAAAAGTTCAGCTTATGTCAGTTATCTCCTGCAGCAGTAAACTGTATCAAAGACACATGACACTGTCAACAAACCAGTAGCTGATAGCATGAGCACATGAGAAGACAGGGGTGCATGTATAATTTTGGACAGGTTCTGTCCCACTGTGTCGGCATGGGAAATAGTAGAGGGAGAGTGCATGGTTTTGCATCGCTTTTAGAATATTCGAGCAATATCACAACAGGGTACACCAGAAATGGGCTTCACACATTGAACCCATGTGGGGAATCAAACCCTGGTCTCCCTAGGCCTTTTTCAATATAAATTGGGATGATGAGCTAACACTTTAACCACGGCCTTGTGGACATGGCAGAGAATGTGAGCATGGGCTACCTTATTTATGTTGAGTCGAGTCAAACCTTGCCATATCTGAAATAATGCATCACTAAACTCCCCTTTCAACAGCACTGTTGCAATGTCAAGGTAAGTGCAGGGTTTTACATGACGAGTAATTCATGCAGTTTTGACTCAACAAAGATGAAACAATTACTTTAAGATAAGAATACCTGGAATCCAAAACTCCACAAATACAATAACCATGCACTGCATCAGACTATTAACAACTGAAGACAATCTAAAATAATATGCTTTCACAGTCCTTGTTTATTTAGAATTAATACATTGGAATTATTTTTTTAACAACATTTTCATGACTCGCAAATTCAGAAAATATTTTTTTACTCCCCAAAACATTTGCTGCGAGTCACTATGACTCCGATTTTAAAGCAATACACAACTGACTGAGTTTTGGTTTTACGCCGCTTTTAGCAATATTCCAGCAACATTACGGCTGGGGACACCAGAAATGGGCTTCACACATTGTGCCCATGTGGGGATTCGAACCCGGGTCTTTGGCATGACGAGCCAACGCTTTAACCACTAGGCTACCCCACTGCCCCCTATACATAACACCCAGAATGAAACTGAAAACTTTGGGAGACCAATTTCTAGCTTTTAGTGCTCATATAGTTACTGCAACAGCACCTACATCCAAACCCAAGTGCAGTCTCTTGAGTCACAAGTTGACAGCATTGGACACGAAGAACCTGTTCTATATTCCAATGGTTCAAGGAAAATAAAGATTTTTTGAAAAAACAAAACTGGTTCCTCTAGATAGTTACCAATCTCGGACCAAGAGGTCAAAGACCATTTCTATCCCAGTATTGTGCTGGTAAGACAGTGTGGGAAAATTCCATGTTGTACATACACACACACACACACACACAGTGTCGATCTTCAGCTACCACATGTCACATTTCCCAGGGAATTGATCACTGGGAACCAAGGACATGCACCAGGCTGCCATACTCATGTTACATCATGCTTCCAGCTCACCATACTTGTCTCGGCTGTTTTCTGCTGGCATGGAATATTTTACAGAAATGTATCTTACTTGCAGAAAACTTTTAGTGTAGTACTTGTGCAGAAACTTTGCATATTTCTGCTGCAGAATTAATCAAATACCAGTACACTGCAGAATTATCTTTTCACATTGTTTTATGTCTACAATAAATGAAAAGGGTTAGAATACACTGTATATTGTCATACTAATGCATGCAATATACAGAGATTATAACATGAGCAAGTGTGTCATATGCAATATGGGGAATCGAACCCGGGTCTTCGATGGGACAAGCTAACACTTTAACCACTAGACTACCCCTCCGCCCTGTCTCCGGTAACAAATCTCTCATCCATGTGTGTAGTGTAATGTGACACCTATGCAAGTGAGACTGATTCAAGGGTCTATGACATGTCGATTCATCTTTGCAGAGCTAATTCAAGATTATTCAGTGCTATCAGACCAAACTGAACTGAGTTGAGTTTTGCAATCACTTAAGTGAGTGAGTTTAGTTTTACACCGCTTTTAGCAATATTCCAGCAATATCACCCCGGGGAACACCAGAAATGGTCTTCACATTTTGCCCATGTGGGGGATCGAACCCGGGTCTTCGGCGTGACGAGCGAACACTTTAACCACTTGGCTACCCCACCGCCCTGCAATCACTTAAGATCCCTGTTCCCAGATGGTGATCATCCATGTTATATTCACCACTGTTGTCGGTCACAGAGTCAAACATGTTCCCTTGACAGTACAACTTCCTCACCAATCATAAATTCACCTTCCTAGCATTTGCATTCCATAATTTGAAAACAATAGTCAAAAAGACAGTTGGACATATTAACAAGTTATGCTTGATCATATATCACTGATAGGAATGAAATAAATGTGCTTCATCATTTTATACACAGGTCAGAGAATATGACAAACAAAAATCTCAGAATTGACCTCAATTTATAGCATTTGTCCCACTTCTGTTGTTGACAGAAAGAGGGTAGACGTTTATCCCAACAATATGAAGTAAAAAAAACTGTTAACAAAAGGTCATCGTTTAAGTGGGGTTAGAATGTCTAAAGGTTAAAATATAGGTCTCCTTTGCTGAAAGTGAAACTATGAGCAGCCAAGCTTTCCTGTGAATGATGCTTGCTTGCATCGATGCCAACAAAGAGCGCCGATTTGTTGTGTGATGAAGAGAGGGATTTGGGAAACCGTATCCTTCAACTAGATCATGTATGGAGACTCAGTATATAATTATTCAGGCTAAGCATTTGAGATTGATAGATGAGACTGAAATGGAAATATACCTTGTGCAGAACTTTGTTTTCAATGTAATGAATTTGATATTTGCATTAACAATGTTACGACTGATCCAACTCTATAAAGTTGTTCATACCCATAAAACTTGCATAATTAATACTTCAAATAATGGTCAGCAGTAGAAAACTTAACATGCTTATAGAGAACCTCTGCTCCACTATCTTAGTCTGTCTCACAGTCCCTGAACTGCATTATTTTTCTCTCCGCCTAGCCCTCCCTCAGGGGTGGAAATAACCCATTGCCCGAGGCCCCAGACCAGTGTTTTTTTCTATCGGGCTAGCAAATATGTATGTCAAGATGTACCGGTGTCCAGTTGACTTTCCAATGTTAATTATGTTGTTTATTTAAAAAATCAACAAGGAAATCAGCCAGTATAGTGGAAAAATTACCGGAGTACATTAGCAATTTTAAAGTTATTTCCACCCCTGTCCTTGCAATACTAAAGAACTAAATGAAGCAAATCTAGATTTCCTCACGTTCAGTCTCCCTTCTCACTGGGGCTTTTATTCAATTTAAACGGAACTATTTGTTTCTATATTCAGAGACTAAGCGTTAGTCTACACTATCTGGAACAGATTCAATTCTGGGTCCTTCAGGGATTTATCTAGGCATCCTTAAGTACTCTTGCCAGGAATAGCTGAATTGCAATATTTACTCACTCACTTACCCTAAGTCGTACTCCTGGGGGTGCTTTCAAATTTAAAAGGAATTATTTGTTTCTGTCAAAATTATATTCATTCAGAGTCATAGACTAAGTGTCAGTTTTGGCTGAAAGCTGTTCACTCAATTACACAATTTGTCTGTTAATTATGTCCATGGAATCGAGTAGGTTATTATTGACTAGCTGTTTGGTATTTATGGACAGTTTGGCAAAATTAACAAATTAAACGATCCTTGTTTTGGTGATGACACTTTAAAAAACCAAGGGAATTTAAGTTAGAGGAATGTGAACTGACATTCCATGTAATAACTTTGGATGATAGAAACAGTATTCACATCTGAAGGACACTGACACACATCAGCAGGTGTTGCATCAAATTTCAGGAACAGTTGGAAAGAAAATTCAACTGGCTCAAGTTCAGAAAATGTACCAATCACTTATTCAAATTATAGTGGCATTGTCATTAAACAAGTAATCAAGTCATCAAAACTGTCGTTTCAAAGCCTGAGGCTTGATTTGGGAGTAACCACCGACATACCTACTAGATGCCAAGTGTTCATAGTTACCTGTTCTCGGGGCATTAAATCCACGAACATGTTAAGACATATACATACTATGAATGAAAAATGATAAATTGAAACAACGATAAATAAACTCTGAAATCAACTTACTGCAAAAATCAATCAAAACAGTTCACAAAATACATAATATGCTCAGCGAAATATATTGTATTTAGAACTGTTATTATCAGTTTGTGATCTTGACAGGTTGTCAACTTACTGAAGAAGACTCGATAGTCCAGACTATTGAGTGCACCTCGCTCAAGTATGGAGTAGGACATGTTGCAAATGGGAGTGTATCGGCACAAGTGGTTCAGAATAACAGTTGTACGTCTTGCGTGGACAGACGGCGAGAGAGGACTGACACACCTGGACAAACTACTACTAATCAATGACCTGTATAAGGTGCGCGCAACACAGGCACCACGTTGCATTGAAAGAACCCGGCGCGATCCTGCGCACGCAGACGGTAGCGCCATCTCTAATTTTATCAAAGGGAGGTCACTACCAGGTACTCTTTCCCGAGCTTGCTCCTAAGAAATTTCTGGTTCATACACGAGGGTCGTATCAGATGTGAATTTATCAGATGTTCACCCATTTTACCAAAAGATGTTTGATGACTGAAAATTCAGCAATGGAATATTAAACATAACGTACCGTTGAAGATAAATGTATGAGTATTATTAACAGAAACTAGATTTACCAGAGATCATATAACAGATTATTATATGGTCTCAGATTGTACACGAAGATTATGAAATTCAACGTAGACCCTGTGTTTGAATACCTATATCGGCATTTGATCGAAAATCACTAAAAGTCTTGATCGATATTCCGCAACGTTTGTTTACACTATTTACACTTTAACACAAACACATGATAATGATTTTACCAAAGCATTGCTTGTCAATCAAATCGTGTATTTTAAAATGTGTAAAATGCCAGACATTTCCCCCCAGATAGTTAATAAAACATCTTAATATTTAGCAATTTTACAAACTGGCTGCTAAATATGTTCATATTATTTAATAAATTTTAGTAATTATTTCACTGACTTGGTTCACATATGTCACCGTATCCCAATTGCGTAGATCGATGCTCATGCTGTTAATCACTGGATTGTCTGATCCAGACTCGATTATTTACAGACCGCCGCCATATGGCTGGCATATTGCTGCCTGTGGCGTAAAACTAAACTCACTCACTTATTTTAAAATTGTTTCCCTTCTAATCCAAGCATAATTAGTCTCTTGTAAATTTGTAATTTTATGCACTTTCACTAAATGTTTTAAAGAAGTTTCAATCTGTTAAATCAAGGTGAAGAATGTTCTATCAATTTGTAAAATGAGTGAAATATCTAGACATTTCATAAATTACCTAAGTGAATCCAATCTTACACACACACGTCTACAACTAAAAGACTTGTGAAAACAACGGCTGTACAGAGCTTCCCAACGTTAAAGTAGAGGAAGTAGAATGGTTCAAATGAATGAAAAGAAAACGCAAATATCGAAAACCGACAAAAATGTATATGTAAAATATCAGGCTGCTACCATTTACACGTCAACATCAACATAAAGGAGCAATTTCCCAAACATCTGCAGCTGACAGAGCGCGTTCAATGTTGAGAAATTACCATGGACATTACAAATAATGAATGCCACAAGGTAAGTGAGTGAGTTTAGTTTTACGCCGCTTTTAGCAATATTCCAGCAATATCACGGCGGGAGACACCAGAAATGGGCTTCACAGATTGTACCCATGTAGGGAATCGAACCTGGGTGTTCGGCGTGACGAGTGGACGCTTTGACCACTAGGCTACCCCACCACCCTGCAACATGGGAACCTTCGTCAGGTAATACGAGCGGTGTCACTACTAATTATGCCGGAATAAACTCAACTGAGCATCAAATGAATGACTACAAATATCATAGTATGTTACAGTCAATGTGTAAAATCAGGCAATTTGCAAATTGCCTGAAATTTTCAGTCAATTTGTAAATTGCCTGAAAAATTAGTCGATTTATTTGACAGATTGACTGAAACATGTTTCAATGTGTAATATCATTATTGAACTTAACCAAAAACTATAACTCTAAACTATAACTATATAACTTAACTTTTAGAGAAAATCCTAAGAAACAGCCACTCAAGGGACATCTTTATTTACCAATTGCCTGATTTTACACATTGACTGTAATATATATAATCAAACTTGGATGACGAGGAAGTAGCCATTCTGTTGCATGCACTCAAGTTACCTGAAAACGCTGTATTGGGATTATTAACGGGACTTCATTGCTGCATAACTATGAAGTACACGCATTTGCTGTAAATTATAATTTCATTTTATAAAAATATGAACATACAAATGTACGTAATTGGTTTGTTTTTATAACTTATTGGGTTTAGTTTATATTCGAACTAAAATAAAATAATGTAATTTATTTCATACTGTTACAAGTATTATTATTAATATTAATACTGTCACTCTTGTTATCATTATAGCTTGTATCTGTGTGAGAAGAAAAACAACGCCTATTGTATAACGTGCAAAAATACCTCGATACATATATGAATCCTACGTACATCTAAGACATGATAGATACGAAAGAGGAAGGGCGTGATTTGTATAGCGGTATGCTCAAAGCGTATTCCGACTTCCTCGTCAAGCGTAGAAATGATGTTCCGTGCTCAATAGGGTTCATATAGTATGTCTTAACAAATAACGTTTAACTGATGGATCAAGTCATTCTGAGCACGTTGGTCATTTTATTGTCGTGTGATAGTTTTAATCTAGGAAATCCCTTTCATTCATACTGTCCAGTAAATGACCACTGCTTCCGTGTCCCGACGTGACGACGTGGGTATCTAAGCGATGTTCACTGATCTCACGTAGAGAGCTCTTGAGAGGTCACAGATTGTAAGCGGATTTCTGAGAAACAGTTATCTTAAATCTAAGCTTTATTGCATCGAGCTAGTTAATCGGTAAAACATGTATTTGATTTGCTGTTTAGAGAGTAGAAGATGACTGTCCCGTAATCATTTCCGTTAATGAGGTCGTGTCAAGGGTGACAAGTTCACCTACTGTCATCTAAATCTGTCAGTACAGACATATATCTCAGCATCTAATCCCCGCAGAGACAGTACCGTACACTTTCAAAATAAATCTCCGAAATCGTTTTAATTCATTTTTGTATTTTTGTTATATTTTAAGACAGAAGTGAGTGAGTGAGTGAGTATGGTTTTACGCCGCCTTTACCAATATTCCAGCAACATCACGGCGGGGACACCAGAAATGGGCTTCACACATTGTATCCATGTGGGGAATCGAACCCGGGTCTTCAGCGTAACGACCGAACGCTTGAAACACTAGGCTACCACACCGACCCTTTAAGACAGGAAAACACTTACATGGTGAAAAGATTGAATGGGTTGATTGTGTGAATGAATGTTGTTGTATCATACATATTCATGTTAATCTGTTTATTGTTTCATGTATGCAGTGCTCTACTTCCGTCAAAATGATGATGATGATGATGATGATGATGATGATGATGATGATCGTACTGATTACTGTTCTATCCCCAGAACCCTCGTGAAGATCTGGGTCTTCAGCAACCCATGCTTGTCGTAAGAGGTGATTAACGGGATCGGGTGGTCAGGCTTGCTGACTTGGATGATACACGACATTGTAACCCTAATAGCGTAGATCGATACAGATGATGTCAACATCAGCATTTTTCTCGATTATTTACATATTGCCGCAATATAAATGGAATGTTGCTGACTGTAAACAAACAAACAAACAAACATCTGTCCCCAGAAAGAACAAATGAGTAAATGTTTTTCTTGTTTCACACAACATTTCAAAGAGGGAATTGCATCGACAAAGCCTAAAATCCTGACAGAATTATTCCAAAATTTAAACTGTTCATGGTGAAAGGAAAAAGAAACAGTGTAAATATGTATAACACTGTTCTTGTTTCTATTCTTTTCTATTTTATACAACGCACTTTGATACGTTTTCTATATAATCAGAATGAAGATATGATACATTTGGCACTCAAGATGGAATGATATGAGTGAGTTATTTGTCTTTATTGTAACCTATGTATTACCAATACTATTCTTTATATTGTTTTATATCATGTATTATCAGAATCGTAAGTTGAACATTATGCATTGTGGTGCTTTCATGCACGCAGCACGGGCCATGCAACCACAACTTGTTATATTCCCTTCACACCTTTACACACAATAAGTAATCTCCAATAACTGATTTCACAAATTGATATCAATACATGATTATGTTAATTCTATTTACGAAGAGTCGAATGTATACTTCTGTACAAAAGAAAGTACACACCTGGTGTTTTGTGACTGTTAAAACAGCATAAATATTGTGCTAGCAATGTTCCAATGGGTACAATATCTATGGTGTTACTGCAACATGTACACAATGTATGTGACATATGAGTCGCAATCAAAACACTTTTCTATATATATATTACGCTGTTTTTAGGAAAACATTTGACCAAAGCATCAGGCGTGTACTTTCTTTTGTACGTTAGTATATTATGATATCATGAATTGAAATGTGATATCTAAACATATGGAGTGTTTTTCGATGTCACACATTTTGATATCTGTAAATACCTCGGTATTATTCACTTATAAAAATTTGTAATATCAATAAATGAATTATTGATTTAAAATAAATTAGGAATAAACAATAACACAGTGTGTCATATTATTTAGCGTCTACGAACCCCATTCCTAAAATTCTTTGTTACTGTGTACCAGGATGAGTGAGTGAGTTTAGTTTTACGCCGCACTCAGCAATATTCGGTCTGTAAGAGTCTGGACCAGACAATCCAGTGATCAACAGCATGAGAAGCGATCTACGCAACTGGGATACGATGACATGTGTCAACCAAGTCAACGACAGGCATAGGTTACTGAAGATCAATTCTAACCCAGATCTTCACGGGTTCCAGAGAAACATGGTTCCACTGTATGGGGAATCTCTTGGACATTTTTGTGATAAAGGGCTGATGTAGTTATATCTTGTGTCCAGTCTTCAAGTCATCGCTGGTCAGAAGTTTGAGGCCGATGACGATGACGACCAGTTTCGTGGTGAAGTGAGCCAGGCAAATGTCTACAGCTCCATCCTCAATGACTCAATGATCACCCGATCCCGTTAGTCACCTCTTACGATAAGCATGGGTTACTGAAGATCAATTCTTACCCGGATCTTCACGGGTCGTACCAGGATGAGCTAAGGGAGTGTACGGGGAAGTGTTGAGCCACTCGATATTTTACAGAGATAACATATGCCTGTAGGACAAGAAGACGAAGACGACTAGCCGATGACGTTGCAATATTCATCGTCACGATTCACCGGACGTTGCCAAGCATTAATTACGTCCATGATGCTGCTATTAATGCGTATATCTATCGACCCATATGTTGGATTGATCGCTGGAAGAGCATGACTGAATTGTGGGAAATACGTATAGGTCTAGAGATGTCTATAATGAATTCTATCGTATCAATTATATACGTAGTATTCGTTGTATCTGAGATCCACTGTTTATACGGTTGAGCGAATCAGAGTGTGAGCCTCCATATATTCTGTCTTAGAGACCCTGCAAGCAAAATTGCCAGTGGAAGATTTGACAATCCTCATTTTATACGAAAATATGTTTTAAATTCATCGAATAAAATCTTACCGACAAACCTGGACAAAATTTATACTAAAATTTACAACCCAAGCTTCAAGTCTACGATAGTATTTGCCCCTTTTGCAACAAATATGACAGTTTTTATCTCAACTAGCATTCGGATTTAAATCATTGTTAAATCACATCTTGCTTTTTAGTCATTATGGATTTCTGTTATTTTGCATATGAAAATTCCCATGTGTAGCATTTTTTCGTGTACGAAGAATTCGATCTATGATGTTTTTTGTGCAATGTTTGATATATCACTATATACAATAAACGACATGGCACAGTGAACACGGATTGTTTAATAACATAATGACAGAAATGTGTATCAATCTATGGTCTCTTATAAAGGATACGATTCTAGGAAAGTACGTACATTCACTTGATGACGTCAGGGCGACTCTCGACGCCCAACGTCTATCGATCCCGTTCCGAGAAGACTGCCCTGCTATCTTTCCGGATTTCACTGAATCGCTGGAGGCAATTATTTCAGTAATGAAAAATGATTTAGCCATGTACGGACAGGAATTAGAGGCTGTATCAAGACCGGCCATGTGTAACCGTTGATACACCGTTGTAACGGAAGTATTGATCGGTGCCCAGTGATCAATAGTCTGATCACGACTCGCATTCCGATTTCACATGCCGTATTACTCGCACGTCTCTTCTAGATCATTCATATACAACCCATCAAAAGTTTAGACTCACTTAAAGCACTCACTATATGTTATGTATATATATATATGGTTACATCGAAGATGAATTTCTCTACTAACTTTGGGGAACCAACTGCAAACCTTATGCAGATGAATTGCACGAGGCTCATGCATCAAATTGCTGAAAAGCATGTGCAAATATCGTTCATGTGAACAGCAACGTTTTGGTGTAAAGTTTTGTTAAGAATTCGCCAATTTTCACTGAGTTTCATCATTTATTGAACTCACGACAATAATCTTTTCAACGTTACGAATTTGTTTTACAATACATCAGTTCATGTGTAAACAGTACCCATAAACTGTACAGAATATTTTGCAAAATCTAGTTTAGAACAGTTGACTGAAGTAAGTGGCTACATTCACACTAGTGAGTCTAAACTTTTGATGGGTAGTATATATTCACCGTCTCTGTGGTATTGAGCCTGGTGGTTAAAGCGTTGGCTTGTCACACCTAAGACCCGGGTTCGATTCCCCATATGGGTAAATTGTGTGAAGCCCATTTCTGGTGTCCCACGCCGTGATATTGCTGGAATATTGCTACAAACGGCGTTAAACCATACCCACTCACTCACCCTTTCGCGTTGAGGTTTTGTTTTGTTTGGTTTGGATGTTGTTTAAAGTCGCACCCAGTAATATTCCAGCTATATTGCGACAGTCTGTAAATAATCAGGTCTGGACCTGATCACCCAGTGATTGATATCATGAGCAGTAATCTACGCAATGGAGATAGGACAACAAGTCTGGGAGCCCGTCCACACAATCCCCTTCATCATCTCTTATGGCAAGCACTGGCGACTGAAGACAAATTCTAACCTAGATCTTCATGTGTTAGACTGACTGACTGAGTTTGGTTTTACGCCGCTTTTAGCAATATTCCAGCAACATCACGGAGGGGGACACCAGAAATGGGCTTCACACATTGTGCCCATGTGGGGATTCGAACCCGGGTTTTCGGCGTGACGAGCCAACGCTTTAACCATTAGGCTACCCCACCGCCCCTCATGTGTTAGAAGGTGTGCATGATTTAACGCAGCTTTCAGCAATATTCCACAGCAATAAAATGGCATCTGACGCCAAAAAATGGCACCATACGTTGAACTATTTGTTTATTTGAACGCACCCAGTGTGATGAGTTCAAGGCTAACCCAAGGTCACTTCTGTCACTGGGGCTGGAATGATCTTGTTCAATCTGAACTCTCCAATTATCCAGTGATCAACAGCATGAACATCGAGCTACGCAATATGGGATACGATGACATGCGTCAACCAAGTCATCGAGCCTGACCAGGGGCCCGTTTCACAAAGCGATCGTAGCGCTACGCCTGTCGTAAGTCTATGTTAAAGTATGGGAGTTACGATCACCTTAGCACTTTGTGAAATGGGTCCCCCCCTTAGAGTTTATCTGAATTCTTAAAATGTTGACTTTCAAAATTTACCTCACAAATAGATTAAATCTTTGCTCATGACTTTGTCCAGACTCGAACAAAACATGGTCTGATACAGCTTTATTGTTGCCTGACTGTGCATAAAATATTATTCATTCACTCCGTCTCTGTAACAGTAATTCTAATATCGTATACTGAAATAAGAGCTTGATTATTATGCCATTGTTAAATATATGGGACGATTATATTCCGCCACCCGTCGTGCATCGGGTCTTGTTAGGGACAACACAACTCTGATCATATTTATATGTTTTATTTTTCTCGAGTATAAAATATCATCAGTTTACAAAAACGTTCTCAAGGACTGACTTACATCATTGCTGCTTGTTAACTGGTCGACACAGAAAGACACAACAAAACTAAAAAACTGTAAAGTATAATGTTATCAAGAGAATGTATCATACATGCTTTATAAAAACAAAATTGGTTGTGAGATGTAGCTGAGTGTCTGCACTGTTGTGTAGAACATGGGCACAACCAACACTACAATATTCCGCAAGGGAGTGGGTTTGTCATCCTCGATAATCTCCAGGGTATACGTTATCGTAACGTACATCCTGGAGATTATCGAGGATGTGGGTTTGTTAGAGCCAGTAACATGTACATTTCTTTACTTCTTAAATACATTAGACAACTAACAATAACGAATGGTACAAGTCAGTTCTTTGAGAACGCACCTACCTAGGTCATTGGGCAGTATTGTATGCTAGTGGAATGTCTCTACTGTGATTCTTACCAGGTTGTACCTTGTCTCCAACAACTGAGGACAGAGAATGTCACCGCGGACATTCCAGTTGAATATGCTCCCATTCTTATGTGATAATTACCCCAGCATCGTTTCAGAAATGGCGTGAAAATTAGTGAGCTGGATGTGGCCAATGCTAATTTGAACAGAATTTCGGTTATACAAGCTTCTTATCTTGATAACATGTGAGGTCAAAACTCACTTCGGAGTAGGAAACACTTCGGATCCTACCACTGTCAAGGGAGTTAACCCTGCACAGATTGTAATATCCGTGTTATTCTGTTATTGATTTAATTGATTTATCAGACATTATTAATACTGGTGCGTTAGAAAAAATAACGAAACTTGGAATTCGTCATGATCAAACAGTGAAAATTTCAGGGAATCCTTTCGAGAGGTCAAGGTCAAAAGGGACTTAAAGTACGTTAGCAAATTCTAGAAACTTCCTGCATGAAACGGTGTGTTTACACTGGATACAAATTCGTGGTTAACCTGTCAGCCAAACTGTAGGTAATTTTGAAATAAACTGCGTTTATTGGAGACGAGTTACATTCAGATTCACAACTACATGATTCTATGACAACCCTGGCTAAAACCCACCAGACATGGTGTATGTCGGTGCCACTGCACCATCGTGGAAAAACTGACAGGGCGATAACTCTCACACAATCAGCTCTCGTGGCTACATGTTTACAGTATGTACATGGTATGCTAACATATATTAACAAATCTATATACAGTGATGTTCTACAAGGGTCATTCGACAAAACAAAACCTGTACACCTACAGAATACCGGATACCTACCAACCATATTCTTTGTTAGCACGCACACTTCCTATTATAGGGAAGCACGAGCTATAAAATTCGAAAAAGTAAGCGAGCATTAAAATGAAAAATAACCATTAAAATCGGATTGATTGAGACGAAGATTTTCCGGTTTGTGAAACTCGCGACCAACGATTTTAGGGAAAATGGAAGGTAAGTTAAAAAGAAAATTTAATAAAAAATATAGTGGGTTTTGGGGGAATTTGAAAAAAACGGACCTACTCAGACACTAATTCCGATAATAAAGAAATACATCAAACCAGGCACCACAATAATAAGCGATTGCTGGAAAGCCTATGACTGCTTGAAGCATGAAGACTTTCTCCACTTGAAAGTGAATCACTCGATCCATTTCAAGGACCCCGAGACGGGAGCACATACTAACACCATTGAGTCCTCTTTGGGTGCCTTTTGAAGAATTTTGTGTAAGAAGGAAGTACTTGAGTAACAGGGAGGACATGTTTATAGCTTTCTTGGAGCTTACCAGTCGTGTATAAACCCCATGACAGAGATGATGAAATTGTGCATGTGAGACGCCCCTTCGCTCCCCTGCAACCCGATGCTGACGACAGTGCTGACGATTTCGTTCTGTGAAGGTAAGAATCATATCTAATGTCTAATCTAACCTAAAACCTAAACCCTAAACCATAACCATAACCCTAAACCCTAATGTCGAGTATGCAACATAAACAAAACGCCGTTACTAAGGAACTCAGTTGCGCACATTTTGTGCGCAGTTCTAAAATAAGCTTTCAAAGATTGCGGAAGGTATCCGGTATTCTGTAGTCTTGCCACAAAACCGAATAAACAAACAAAAATCAGGCTTATTTTCTAATTTTTTAAAACACCACATCTGTTTGTAAACACGTACTACAACTCACACTAACCATGCATAAAGCCGTAAGTTTGTACTGACGTGTGAAATATGGACTCTTGCGTAATATACAGGCCCCGATTTCTGGAAACAAACTTAAGTCAAGTTTTCACTCAAATTTCAAACTGAGTTTGACAATTTGAAACGGCTGAATTTTTAACTCAACTGCATTTTAAAATGAAAAAGCCCAAACGACTTAAGTAATTTATCCACCAAACTCAAATTGTCTACTATGTTTGAGTTTAATATTGATTCGGTAAAAATCTGGGAAATGTTCCTGCATTTTCTCAAATTTGATTAAGAACAAAGAAGTCAAAACTCAGACTTAGTTTGTTTTGAGAAATCAGGGCCAGATCATATTTGGCTGCCCTATTTCCATTTTATTCGGTTTATTTGACATTTGTTAGTGCTCCTATCCCAACACAAGACCATAAAACATTTTTTCATGACCCTACCCCTTCTCCCCCCACTTGACCAGTCCCAAAATATACCGGTAAGCGCCCAGACCACCCCTTGAATAAATGACTAGGGTCCCGAACCACAAAGCGTTCGTAACGCTACGACTTTGTCGTAACTCTATAGTGTATCATAGGCTTACAAATGTCGTAGCGCTACAAACAGTTTGTGGATTTAAAAGAATAATTCGAGATTTCAACATGAACATATTGTTAGCATACAAACTCCCAAAGAATTAAAATATATAATTCTGTTGCATAACAAGAAAACCAAATACCAATGTTTTGTAAGCATTGTTTCAGCACTAAGCTAATATAATGTTTCAACACGCAATCACAGATATTCACACTAAAAACAACGTTATTCTCATTATTAACTTTCCCCTGTAAACACGCCCAGACCTTGACACAGGGAAGGAATGTCTAGCTACATGTACTACACTACTTAAATGTACACTGTACAATCTGCTCGTATGATCACTGAATATATTAAATATATCAATAACTATATACAAATACCGGTATCAATACTCATTGGACAAATTATGTACAATATTATGGCACTTTGACATGGACTAGGAAAGGAGCATACTAGCATACATGTATCTGCATATGATAACACATCTAGCACGTATTGCACACTTGCGCAAACATCTTGCATTATGGCATGAAAATATTATACAAAATTCTAGATAAGTAAACAAAGTTTTATGTAACTGAGTAATATTGAAATATTTAAAAACATTATCTACATTCCATTTTTTATATTTGCGATATAATGCACTTTTTAACAAGGATTGTCGAATGCATAAATAAAAAAATTGCTTGAGAAAACTAAAATTAAATTAGTCTTCTTTATGAAAGTATTCATTGGCATACATTGGTAACAGTAAAACAATCTGTCAGTGTTAAGGTCAGTACAGATAGCCACTTATTGTCAACTTGAACTGTACTTGTAACAAACGTGTTTGTTTGGTTGAGAAATGATATAAGGGTAAATTATTCACCAAACAAAACCATCTAAGAAATGACATAAAGGTGCATAACATATCTGTTTGGTTACATTACTCACCGTCTATAATGGTATAAATTGTCACATTATTTCTGCATAGTGACATTATCTTCTAAATTAAATTCAGACACATCTGAACAAATTGATGAATATATAAAAAAAAAAATTCAAAAAATTAATGAATAAACTATAAAATGAATACATCGAAGTTGTGCTGAAAATGTACCAGTCTAAGTAAACTTAGGCTCAGAATTATTTGCTACCCTGCTCACACTGTATAGCAGTGTAACGAATAATACTGAGTCTAAGTTTACTTAGACTGAAAATGTACTAAATAAGTACCCTCTTGATAACTACCAGACTCATACTGACATAAATATGTGCATTTATCATAAAAAAAATTAAAGCTAAAGATAATAAATGTTTGTGCAGCCTAAAGAACAAACCGCCATACTGAGATGGTGATAACACAGAAGTATGAACAAAAGAGAGCTACATTAAACTAATGACACAGGAAATCCTGTGGGAGAAGTTACCATTGTACTGGCTGATGAGACATTAGCGTACCCTTAGTTATGTGTTACTGACAACCCTTAATGGAAATGGCTCTAGTTACTGCACTAACCTGAGTCGATCATGTATGGACAATATGTACAATATGCATACTTGAAAATGTAGAAATATGACGGATGATTCACAAACACATTCGATATGTTACGAATTTCACACCAAAATGGCATTCCTGACTCAAATAGCACAGCACTGAAGGCACTGGTGAAATTCAAACAGATGGTTTCAGGTATTACAAAAATGGTTTACTAGAGGTGCTCATGAAATCTAGACAGTGGTTTCCAGTTAATTACTAAAAATGGTTTACTAAAGGTGTTCATGAAATCTAGACAGCAGATTCCAGTTAATTACTAAAAATGGTTTACTTGAGGTGCTCATGAAATCTAGACAGCGGATTCCAGTTAATTACTAAAAATGGTTTACTAAAGGTGCTCATGAAATCTAGACAGCGGATTCCAGTTAATTACTAAAAATAGTTTACTAGAGGTGCTCTTGAAATCTAGACAGCGGATTCCAGTTAATTACTAAAAATGGTTTTCTAGAGGTGTTCATGGATTCTTGACAGAAAATTCCAGATAATTGTTAAAAAATGTTTTTTAAGGGGGCTCATGATATTTAGACAGTGGATTCCACTTAATTACCGGTACTAAAAATGGTTTACTGAAGGTGCTCATAAAATCCATACAGAAGATTCCAGATAATTACTACAAATAGTTAACTGAAGGTGCTCATGAAATCTAATAAGAAGATTCCAGTTAACTACTAAAATGGTTTACTGACGGCACTCAGGAAATCTATATGGTGTATTCCAGGTATATCCTGAAAATGGTAGAGGTTAGAACCAATCAACAAGCTACATCAGTTTCAGTTTGTAAGAAAATATCAGGGATTGACCCCACATTCACAAAGCAAAGCCAAGCAAACCACTGTACCACCCCTTGTTCTCCATTTTAATTGATTTACTTTTAGATGGGGCACACTGGCTACCCATGCAAGCCATTTCAAGTCTCTGAAATTCCACTCTGTCTGTTAACTCTGAGTATTTTATGCTTATCATAATACTGTACAAATTACCAAGATACTGTCTCAGGAATCATGGTAATTACTACATCTAAACCATACTGGACACAGGCACCAAAATACGAAGGAGAGTCCCTTTAAGTACAAGCATCAATGTCTTCACTGGACACACTTTTCAGGTTTGAACAAAATATGTATGCATGTACTGAATAACCTAAATGCTAGTTTGCATTGAACATGTAATACTTACCAACACATGACACAATTTGTTGACACACACATAACACAATGAATATTTGTGATGGCACTTGAGTATGGGATACAGATATGTTTTTGATACATGAACACCAATACAGAGCAGATGAATGGAAAACAACATGAAATACAAGAATGTACATTCGCCACACCTTCAACAGCAGACATAATATGAGCAGTAGGTTATACGATGGTTTGTTTCTTGAGCACGTGTGCACGATATGTACAAATAAGTGCCCAGATATGTTCAGAAAAACCAATGTGGTTTTGTGTGGTTTGGAGAAGATTTCACAACATTTACATACATTTTCCATATTTATGCATTTTACAGAATCAGATGTAGACACACACTTTGTTCCTTTGGCAGGATGTCTGTCATTACATCAAGGCACATTTCCTCCTCTGTTATGAATGTTGATACATCTCTGTAGAAGGTTTGTACATAACTTGAACACAACATTTACATACATTTTCCATATTTATGCATTTTGCAGAATCAGATGTATGCACACATTTTGTTCTTTGCAGGATGTCCGTCATTACATCAAGGCACATTTCCTCCTCTGTTATGAATGTTGATGCATCACTGTAGAAGGTTGTATATAACTTGAACACAACATTTACACACATTTTCCATATTTATGCATTTTGCAGAATCAAAAGTAGACACATTTTGTTCCTTTGCAGGATGTCAGCCATTACATCAAGGCACATTTTCTCCTCTGTTATGAATGTTGATGCATCTCTGTAGAAGGTTGTATATAACATGAACACAACATTTACATACATTTTCCGTATTTATGCATTTTGCAGAATCAGATGTAGGCACACATTTTGTTCCTTTGCAGGATGTCTGTCATTACATCAAGGCACATTTCCTCCTCTGTTATGAATGTTGAGGCATCACTGTAGAAGGTTGTTTATAACATGAACACAACATTTACACACATTTTCCATATTTATGCATTTTGCAGAATCAAAGGTAGACACACATTTTGTTCCTTTGCAGGATGTCCGTCATTACATCAAGGCACATATCCTCCTCTGTTATGAATGTTGATGCATCACTGTAGAAGGTTGTTTATACCTTGAACACAACATTTACATACATTTTCCATATTTATGCATTTTGCAGAATCAGACATACATCACTGTAGAAGGTTGTATGTTCCCATGGAGAATGTCCCTAGCACCACTATGTGGAACAAATGCATAGACAAACAAAGTCAATCAAACGTACCAATCAAGGCTCAAATTAGCACTTTTGTTCTACAATGAGTTGAATGAGTATCCAAAGGTTGGCATATGTGAATGCAGGGCTCGATTTAGGAGATGTTAACCCACTTGCACCAGGTGCAACCTATGATAAAAACCTAGTTGCACCAGTCAAATTCCAGTTGCACTGTTTTTAATGCAATATGTAATATCAGAAATATGCTATTGAATTATTTAGATGTTTTATTCAGAAGTTTACCCACTCAAATATTGACTTGCACCTGGTGCAAGTTAGACAAATAACTAAGTTGCACTTTGTAATATTGGGTTGCACCAGTGCAAGTAACAAAGCACTAAATCGAGCCCTGGAATGGCACTTAAAATATTTTCTGATTTCGGTTCTGCAAAATATGCAGTCGTCGCTATCAACCACTTTGATGTATCTTATGAATATTTGATTTATTAATCAGTAGGTTTATCAATAATGTTGCAAAAACATAATGTGGTGATGAAATATCTTATAAAACGGTCTTTAATTTTTAGGGTTAGAACTGATGAAACACATCATGAAATCTATGAAATGAAGTGTCATTGGACCAAAATATTGAAATAAACATTGCAGTATCCATTTGGCACCATCTGGGCACATAGACTACACAAAGGAAGATCCTTGGTAAATGGAAGCTTTGGAACTCATATCATACAACTTTTGCATAAATGTTTATATACATGTACATTAAGACTTCATTTCATGGGGGTGTTGGCGGGAGTGGTGGCGAACGTTGATGGGACCAAGTCAGGTCAAGAGCATACGAGCTGTTGATCAAAGCCAGACTCAAAATGTCTTCTCAAATCATCTTGGATACTGCCATCAACTCCTGTTAACAGCAGAGTAGAAATAAGAATACAAACTGGGTTGCTGAAATCAGTGAGTCATTCAGCATGATTTTAATGCTTTTTGCAATATTCAGCAATAAAACATTTAGATACATCAGAAATGGGCTTCACATGTAAACCCAAGTAACTACTATGCAACAGTCTTTTATATTCAGTATGCGAGAAAATGTTTATGCCATTGAATTTATTACTAGAATTATTATTATGGCTGACGCACAGAGTATTCCAATATCACGAATGGGGACACCAGAAAAGGGATTCACACATTGTATCCATGTGGGAAATCGAATCTGGGTCTTTGGTATTACAAGCAAATGCTTTAACCACTAGGCTATCAAACTGCCTGTTATCATTTGTGAAACATTACATAGGAGGTGAGGTGAGGTGAAATTGGGTTTAACGTCGTGCTGGAGAATATTTCGCTCACATGACGACGTGCATGCGTGTGTATGTGTAGTGTGCGGCTGCTTGTACTAGCCCAGACTGAAGCTGGTTTTATAGTGCTAGCCCACTGAGATACCATGCCGCAGTGAAGCAGAAATACCCCACTCAGACACATTATACTGATTCCTTGCTGACCAGTTCTTGTTGTACCCATTAATGCCGAGCGCCAGGCAGGGACCAACAAGTACCATATTTTAACGTCTTTTGGTATGATGGGGATCGAACCAGCGACCTTCCGCTCTCCAGGCGGACGCTCTAACCACTACACCACCGAGGCAGTCACATTACATAGGAAGACTGTGATAGCACACTTACTTGATAATCATTATGTAGGTTCCAGTATGTTGACCACAAGGCTACTGAGAGAGCAGTAGATATTTTTGCAATGTTATTCGAGCCCCAGGATAGATATTCTGTCCAGAACAGAGGACATCTGAAATATTACCACGGTATATCTACATCAGAACCATGTTCATTTCCAGGAAGAATGTGTATTGAAGTCTGGATTTATCCAATGGAAACAGGATGCTGAATATTTTCAGTGTTTATGGAGAAAACATGAGATGATCTGCAGCACAATATAATCCAGGAATTCTCTGCTAAAAACATTTCCAAAGTCTTCATAAAAGCTTTTCAAAGGTACCTTTACACATTTAACACCTCATCACCCTTGGTAATGTTCTAAATGACCTTGAAACCTGAGTTGATGAGCCAGATGCTACATCAGTGTGAGTCTTCAGAAGGTACAGCATCAGGGTTCCTCTTTACTGTTGTAGGGAAACACATTACGAAGGTCTTGCCTTTATGTAGTTGGGAACCTCTAATCTGAGTTGGGGCAACTGGTCTGGGATCAGAAGTAACTCTGCAAGTTATCGATGCTGGTGCTGGCAGATTCTGCAGGATGATGGCTCCGAGATTTGGAAGTCATCATCTTTGTAGGCATCCTCTTGGGGTTTCAGATGACTGCAAGTAACTAACAACACTGATGGAGGTCCATCAGAAGTAGGAGTCCAAGATGGTCCATCAGAATTAGGAGTCCAAGATGGAGGTCCATCAGAAGTAGGAGTCCAAGATGGTCCATCAGAATTAGGAGTCCAAGATGGATGTCCATCAGAATTAGGAGTCCAAGAAGGGGTCCATCAGAATTAGGAGTCCACAACGGTGGTCCATCAGAAGTAGGAGTCCATGCTGGTGGAGGGGGTCCTCTGGCGTGGCTCGAAGTCCTCCAGCATGATCTCCAGTTCGAGGGGGTCCTCCCAGTCAGCATCAAACTCATCCTGCAACACAGACCATAATGTCAGTAAAGTCATCACCAGCACATTGTGTAGCATGAACATGAAGCCTTGCTCCAAGTCTGTACTGAGTGCTAAGACCATACATGTATAGTAATTCAATCTTTTAAAGAAGCAAGTCTAGATAAGTGGACATCTAAAGACCCCAGCCTGTTAATATATTTTTTTCAGAAATTATCATTTAAACTATTACCTTAGAGACTTGTGCAAGTCTAGACAACATGTAACAGGTACCAACATACCTAAAGTTCATATCATTATGGAGAAATGTACAGTCCGTTTGATTTCATTTGAGACCGATGAATTGCTCACTAACACAAAATCTAATAGTGGCCACAAAACCAAATTTTGCACAGTCACATGAAATCGACAGACCAACTCTGATGATTTGTCTAATAATTTTGGACACCCGAATAAAAAAGTTGTGTAACAAACGATCATTATTTTGTTGTCACTTTTCGCTATTTCTTTCGAGGGGGGACCACTTGCTGGTAGAACAGCCAGGTAATCAACAAGTGTGTGCAGTAAAATTTCAATTTCACAGGTACAAGTCGCACGTGACAACAAATGATCGTTTGTTAAAGGTCACATGCAACCAAAAAATCAAACATAATTAAAACACAATTATCACTTTTTCCTGACATATAATATACATTGCTGGTTATGAAAAAACATATAAACAAAATTATAAGCGTACAATCGCAAATCAAAAGTGCAATATTGTGTACTTGGGTTTACTTCCCAAGAAACGAAGCAGCCGGGATACCGAACCCAGTCAGAGCGGGTGGGTGTGCACTCAAGTGTAACGGCTGGTTCATTTGCAGATGCCCTCACGGCTCATTGTGTGTGTATATATAGAGATGTTGGGTTTTGTAAATACATGCTCATTTTTTGTGTATAACATTTTACAATCAACAGACATCATAACATGTCATGTGTTCAAGTATCACACCTGCCTGTCTGTGTAATTACATAATGTGACAGAGACCGAACTCGGGCCATAAATCAATGCATTTTGTTTATGGTGTATAGCCTGATTGGTGTTAAGTTCAAATTGCATGTGGTCAGTGATAGCAGCTGTGTATTGAATATTGACATTAGCATACAGGCAGGCAGACAGGCAGGCAGACACACAGGTGTCAATAAAACAAGACATTGAGTTTTGTCTGTGACAACGACATATCTATATCACAGTTAGAAATTCTGTCAACGCTAAATAATGACATTGCTTTCAAGTATTGAACTGAGAAAGTGGCTTGGTAAGAAGAACGTGTGGTGAAATAGACAAATGAAATTATATAAACAGTTAATTTACTGTCATAACATGAAAAGCTCGCGCCTGTGAGATATCTACAAAACATTAGAAAAATAGCTCACACCAAAGCCTTCACCGAGTATTCACCGGACAACCCGTTTCCAAGCTGCGCGAACCTATTTCACTGCGCACGTGCTATGAGTGCAGCCCAGCTGTTGAAACCAGTTTTCCTCCGAAAAGTCGGGGGAAACTTAGTGAAACGTTTGAACTCCGATTTCGTGCGGGTTTTTTCATCGCGTTATTTTTCAACTTTATAAGTTGAATTTGCATTTTTGACGATTTGTTTCGGTAAGTCCATACCGAAAGGTATCAGAATCTGCAAAGTTGTGTTTTACGTTGCATGTGACCTTTAAACAATTTTTTTATTCGGGTGTCCGAAATTATGAGACACCAGAGTTGGTCTGTTGATTTCATGTGACTGTGCAAAGTTTGATTTTGTTGCATTTATTAGATTTTGTGTTGGTGAGCAATTCATCGGTCTCAAATGAAATCAAACGGACTATACAAAATATAATAATCCTTAAAGGCATTAGACAAATTCCAGCAAATTCCATTACATCTGGAAACCAGGGCCTGGTACATATCATGGTGAAATATGAAAAATGTAGTGTACCTTAAACATAATTATATACTACATCCAGCAGATACATTCACACCAGGAATATATATTATATATCACTGAAGTGATACGTAATATAATATACCTTGAACATTATTATATACTACATCCAGCAGATGCATTCACACCAGGAATATATATTATATATCACTGAAGTGATAAGTAATATAATATACCTTGAACATTATTATGCAAATGTTACCATTCTAAAACACTCACACAGCACAGACTCTATCACACTTGAAACAAGGTAGCACAGGATACAGGAATGTTGTGTGATACAGCAAGTGAGTAAATAATTATGGTTTTACGTCACTTTCAGCAATATTCCATGAATATCATGATGGGGGGCACCAGAAATAAGCTTCACATATTTTTCCTATATTGGAATTAAACCTGGGTCTTTAGCCACTAGATCTCCCCACCACCCTTGTGTGAGGACCAATTATGTGAATATGTGAAGGTGGTGTATATAAACAGTAAATCAGAATGTTAGTACATGTTCTATGTATTGTATGTATATACATTGTAGGAGAGGTGAGCCGAGTGCATGATGAATAAAACAAAATGCACACATATGTGTCTGGTTCACCTGATTTAAATGTCTGTTTTGTTCATGTCTGCATACGGTTCACGTTCAAGTGTAACTGGTGCTGCCATTTTATACCACAACATTTATATATATATTCATGCAAACTGACGAACTGATAACTTTGTCTGGTCAGGATTTGAATGTTTGAAGGCTGTTAGATGGCAGGAGATCTGCTTGGCAACTCACCACTTGATTTTTTCTACAAAAAGTCAGGAAATGCTAACTCTATTAGTGCACAAATGACGCCATCACTGATTTTCCATTCATTTAATATTCACCACTATTTAACCTTTCACTCCCACTGGAATATTGTCCTATAATTATTATGAATATTCTCTTGCACGGATGTTTTATGGTAACATAAGCATTTTAAAGTATCAAGCTGTAGCTTCTCATCCAATCAAACGCTAAACTTATTTTCTCTCTAAAGAACCTCAATGTATGAGCTGGAGGTTGTAGACCATGATGCAGATATGTGAATCATGATTGTGACCTTGATGCAGATGTGTAAATTATGATTGTGACCTTGATGCAGATATGTGAATCATGATTGTGACCTTGATGCAGATATGTGAATCATGATTGTGACCTTGATGCAGATATGTGAATTATGATTGTGACCATGATGCAGACCTATGCAGATATGTGAATCATGATTGTGACCTTGATGCAGATATGTGAATCATGGATGATTGTGACCTTGATGCAGATATGTGAATCATGATTGTGACCTTGATGCAGATATGTGAATCATGATTGTGACCTTGATGCAGATATGTGAATCATGATTGTGACCTTGATGCAGATATGTGAATCATGATTGTGACCTTGATGTAGATAGTGAATCATGATTGTGACCTTGATGCAGATATGTGAATCATGATTGTGACCTTGATGCAGATATGTGAATCATGGATGTATGAGCTAGAGGTTGTGGACCTTGTTGCAGATATGTGAATCATGATTGTGACCTTGATGCAGATATGTGAATCATGGATGTATGAGCTAGAGGTTGTGGACCTTGTTGCAGAAATGTGAATCATGATTGTGACCTTGATGCAGATATGTGAATCATGATTGTGACCTTGATGCAGATATGTGAATCATGATTGTGACCTTGATGCAGATATGTGAATCATGGATGTATGAGCTAGAGGTTGTGGACCTTGATGCAGATATGTGAATCATGATTGTGACCTTGATCCAGATATGTGAATCATGATTGTGACCTTGATGCAGATATGTGAATCATGATTGTGACCTTGATGCACATATGTGAATCATGATTGTGACCTTGATGCAGATATGTGAATCATGGATGTATGAGCTAGAGGTTGTGGACCTTGTTGCAGATATGTGAATCATGATTGTGACCTTGATGCAGATATGTGAATCATGATTGTGACCTTGATGCAGATATGTGAATCATGATTGTGACCTTGATGCACATATGTGAATCATGGATGTATGAGCTAGAGGTTGTGGACCTTGTTGCAGATATGTGAATCATGATTGTGACCTTGATGCAGATATGTGAATCATGATTGTGACCTTGATGTAGATATGTGAATCATGATTGTGACCTTGATGCAGATATGTGAATCATGGATGTATGAGCTAGAGGTTGTGGACCTTGTTGCAGATATGTGAATCATGATTGTGACCTTGATGCAGATATGTGAATCATGGATGTATGAGCTAGAGGTTGTGGACCTTGATGCAGATATGTGAATCATGATTGTGACCTTGATGCAGATATGTGAAACACGGAGGTATGAGCTGGAGGTTGTGGACCTTGATGCAGATATGTGAATCATGATTGTGACCTTGATCCAGATATGTGAATCATGATTGTGACCTTGATGCAGATATGTGAATCATGATTGTGACCTTGATGCACATATGTGAATCATGATTGTGACCTTGATGCAGATATGTGAAACATGGATGTATGAGCTGGAGGTTGTGGACCTTGATGCGGAAATGTGAATCATGGATACTGGTTTGTAAATCATGAACATGAAAATGATACTGCTTTGAGAATAATTTTCATCAATCAACAATCGACTAAACTCATTTTGCATATCTACAGATAATGAAACGTTAAAATGTGTTTTTATGTCTATTCTGTGCAGAACACCTGTGTCTGTGAGTGTGTCGAGCATGTTTCCCTCTTTTTATTTGCATTTTTTAAAATATGATATTCATTGTATTGAAACACATATGGGTAATGATCCTTTAATCATGTAATTTCACTCATGAAAAGATCAAAGAATAAGATAATTCTGTTTGCTTATTTGTTGTATAATGCCGAATGACTACCAAAATACTCCCAATTGTATCCGTATTGAAGTTCAACTATTCCTATATATATATACTGAGTCAAAAAAGAAACTTCACATTCTTTCTTCAGGGCACTATAAAAGAACAAGAGATGGTAAGATGGTGAAATTGTTATT